TCCTGCTTTGAAGAAGATAAATCAAAACCCAGGACAATCAGAACTGCCTCAAATGAAATGCGTTTACAGCCTTAAAGGAGGAGTGCTTAGCATTGTTTTCTAGTAGCTGGTTTTTTTTCAGTTTGGTGGAAATTTGCATCTGCAGCTCTAACCTAGTCATTTTGCTTCTGGTGCTGCAGATTGCACCTCTTTTCCATCCAATTGGTAAGTATTTTTAGCATTCTTATATTTTCCCTTTCTTCTATATTCATGCTGAGACAAACACCCACCCACATGCTCTTGAAACTTGTAGCTCACATATTTTTATTAGATTTCAAAGGAACATAGTCACGTAGAGTTTAGCCCAATAATTATGCAGTGTGTAGTTTATTTGTGGAATTCATTGCCACTGGAAATGTGTAAAAGAGGTTCAACTCCAGGGTTGACTGTAATGCCCCAGGAGCCCCCTCAGCACTAGTCAACCTGGTTCTCTTTGGGCAATCTCCCCTTCTCCTTGCTTGCCACACCTTGAAAAACATGATATTTTCAGAAAAGGGAGGCTGCCCCAGGACTTCCCAAGTTAGATCTCCTCACCAGCATCAGTATTGTTGCTGCTTATTGCCTTAAGGGCTAATTACATCGGTTCTGTCCTCCCAAGTACCTACACCCATGCCTCGCAGATATTGCCTATCCAATCAGTTTCCCTTGTTGGGACCTCGCCCCACTCAGCTTCCATCCCTTTTCTCTTGCTGGGCCACTTAGCTCAGATCCACTGTGTTGGACGCAGCTTCTGGGTTGCAGCCCTGTCTCCACACTTCTGGGCTCCTGGGCCTCTGGCCACATCTCCACGTTTCTCCAAGCTACCAGGCCCCTGGTCTCAGTCTTTGCCCTTCTGTGAGCAGGGCGTCTTGTCCTAGCTACACCCTTCTTGGTTTTGGAGCCCCTAGCCCTGTCTCTGTCTTTTGAGTGCACAGGGCTCCTTTCCCCTGGCTCCATCCTCTTGGGCGCTAGGACCCCCAGCCCTGTCTGGCTTCTGCCTGTACCAGGCTTCAGTGCCTGAGTCTCCAGGGTTCTGAACTAAAACTCTAGCAAGGCTCAAAACACTGGTGTGCCCCAGGTGCCCTGCTTTTGGTTAGCCCACAATGCGCCCCTCTGGTGCTCTCCCCTTTTAACCACTCCCAAACCACCACCAGTAAAGAACCTGTAACCAAGGAATAAGGCTTCAGGCTAACAAGCTAAACCCTCTCTGGGTCCAAATGTAAACAAGGGCTACCTGCCTGCATAACAAGGCTTCCCCTTAACCCAGGTAATGTTCCTCTGTAGGGCAGCAGCACTATGTTTGGCTTCCTTGAGATAGCCCAGGAACCAGCTAGGAGCTCTCCTACCTTCCCTCTGCTCTGCAGCACTTGTCTTGGCAGCCTCTCAAGCCAGATTGACTGTGTAGGCTCAGGCCCTGAGGTTACAGGCAGCCCCCACTTAACGCTGTTTCACTTAGCTCTATATTGCTATAAAACTCATTTGAAATTGATACCTGATGTTACGTAGCGCTCAGTGTTCATTATAACACTCGTGGTCGCCATCTTGGGTCATTAAAAACAATTGTGGTTGCCATCTTGGGTTGTCAAATACTTTTGGTTTAGCTTAACACTTGGTTTTTCAGGAACCAATTAAGAGTGCTAAGCGGGGGTTGCCTGTATACACACTAAAACCTGCCCCCTTCCAGTAAGGTGACTCAGCAGCCATCACAGATGTCTTAATTCTGACCTAAGGCCCTGCCTGCTCTCATAGATTCATAGATGTTCAGGTTGAAAGGGATCTTAGCAGACCATCAAGTCTGACCCCCCTGCCCTGGGCAGGACAGAGCGCTGGGGTCAGATGACCCCAGCCAGGTGCATGTCTAGCCTCCAAAAATTTCTGCACGCCCAGGCCCAGGGGGAATTCTGGGCCGACACCCAGCCTTGAGCTGACAACCTTCTGGCCCAGTACTCATTACAAACCCGGCTAAGCCAGAGAGCCAAGCCAACCCACAAAGTTGGCCTGGTTGCAGCTCTTAGCCCCTGAGCAGTCTGGCTGTCTATCCCTTGTGCCTGTTGCTGCTGGCTTTTGGCTATA